ATGTTCGGCGGTTGGGGTGTCCATCTCCTTGCCCCCCTATTACCAGATGGAAGAAAGATATGAAGAAAAAGATTCACTCGTAGAGATGATTGGTAGAGGCTTAGTCAATTGTACAGAATTATGGGAGCCGATAGTGAAGAGATTCTCTAATGTTACCTTAAATAAGATGCCAGTATTAATGAAGCCAATAGAAAAGATCGATATGGATCACTTAAGAGATAAGTTAAGTGCGTTGGGAGACGAAGGTGTAGCTTGGGAAGACGATGAGCAGATCGCGATAAGTTGGTCAATAGTAATGGGTACATTCCTAGTTGTAGCCATCGGGGTGTAATAATATGGAAGATTAAGAGTAAGAGAAGATTAGCGAACGACAGTCTAGTGAGCATGCAACAACTCGAGAGGGAGATGCCGAGCAGTGTTCCTTACTCAGACAGGACTGGCGAAGAAATTGCTGAAAGACTAATGGAGGAGGCTGGCGTGAGACCACCACGTGCGGCAGGAAAACCTCCCACGGCAGAGAGGAAAACATTGACCAAGAAGAACAAACCCTAGTGAACACATCTGCACCTACAAACACACGCACACATTACCTTGCATGTAAAACAAAAGAAAATGAAAAGAACATTTCATTGCATGTGGAACAAAAGAAAATGAAAAGAACATTTCATTGCATGTGGAACAAAAGAAAATGAAAAGAACATTTCATTGTATGTAGAACAGAAGAAAATGAAAAGAACATTTCATTGCATGTAGAACAGAAGAAAATGAAAAGAACATTTCATTGCATGTAGAACAGAAGAAAATGAAAATTTCATTGCAAAAGAAAAGAACATTTCATTGCATGTAGAACAAAAAGAAGATGGAAAGAACATTTCATTGCATGTAGAACAAAAGAAGATGGAAAGAACATTACCCTTGCATGTTAGAAAGTAGAATAGAATTGCATGAGACAAATGCATGGTGCATGTTAAATGATGTAATTGGGTTTAGGTGTCATTTACGGGTAAATGACAAATCGGTTAGGGAGGATTGTGGCACCTTGCATTATTAGAAATATTCATAGAAATATGATTTAATTTTTCTTACTCGGTTTACTAAACAGGTTGTTGATTTTTTTAAAACGGAAAATAATTGAGTTGAAAATAATTCACTAAGATTGTACCTGGACGATCCTAAGGGAAGAAGAAGGAAGGGGAAAGAGAGAGGTCGAGAAATACAAAAAAAAAACGGTCATTAACAAAAAACACGAGTCAGAAAGATATCTTAGCTAGCATGTTGACCGAATTTTTTAAAGACAATTGGAAGAATAGAATTAGAAATAATAAGAAGAAAGAAAGGGAAAAAAAGACATGATATCAAACGGGCCGCTTGATGGAAGCCAGATATCGGTCAAAGCACCTAGCCTACTTTTTGCATGGAAAGACACCTTATCAATTTGGATAAAGAGAAATTTTGGGAACAATGAAACAATCTTAATCAGAGAAAAAGTGTCTTTTTTGGGTTGAGGGGAGGACCGGTGGAACGGTATACAGGCTCTGACCTGTTAAAAATTAGAACCCCCACAATAATAAAGTGGAGTTGAGTTGGAGTTGAGAGTTGCAGCTGGACCGCGGGCAGGGATAGAGCCTGAACGCCCATCAGGCCCGATTCACTACCCCCTTTATGGGCAAGAGAATCCTCAGACAAGAAATCCTTCCACCCAAGTCGAAGACAAAGAGAACTTCCAGCCCAAGCAGACGAAGAAGGAGATTGCTCGAAGGACGCCAAGAGTTGTGGCAGAGTTACGGCAGAGTTCAGCCCCGACGGCAGCGAGAAGAGATCACCTCGGACGACAGAGATTTGCGGCTGAGTTGCGGCAAGAGATCCTTCCAGCCCAAGTCGAAGACAAGAGAACTTCAGCCTAAGTCGACGAAGAAGAAGAAATACAACCCAAGTCGAAGACAAGAGAACTTCCAGCCTAAGTCGACGAAGAAGAAGAAATACAACTCAAGTCGGAGAGAAGAATCAACTGCGAATGATCGATAGAAATTAGCCCCAGTGTCGAACCAAACCACACTCCGACATACACAATTCTAAAGAGTAGGCAATTCAAAATCTTTAGGTTGTGTGATAGAAGCTTGGTGCCATAGTCCACAGAGCGGGTCTGGAAATGAGAACAATTTTGTTTTTATGTAGCGGACATTAAGATATAAAGGGTTGTTACCCATTTTTTTCATCAGCAATCTTTTTGTCTCGTGAGTTTATTTTCTCTTTTATTTGTGTTTTGCCACCCCCGTCGGACTCAACTTGTATCGCCCCCAATCCCTGCTGGTCCCGTCTGTCTAAGATCTAAACACAGCGTGGGTAGACAGACCGGAGATCGGTACAGTTGCTTTAGTGACCAGGTATTGGAAGCGAGTCGGGAAAAGGCGAGGCTGGTGATCATCTGACCAAGGGGTTGGGCGCACGCTTGGACCCAGGAGGAGCGACCAGGAGGAGCGACGTCACCGTTAGCGCCCGTAACCAAAGGATCCGACCCTGGGCCAGGTGTGTAACCGTAACACTAAGTGTAAGAAACCTAGAAAATGTTACAGAGCACAATTCAAAGTGACAGAAAATGACTACTGACATTGCATTTAAATTTTTGAAGATCATGGTTGACAGGAAAGTAAGAAACCAAAAGTGAAGCTCACAAACTATGCGAAAGAAACTTTTAGCAGAGAACTTACAGTTATACTTAGCAATTTCAAATCTAAAATGGTGAAACCTAACTGCCAATCTAGTCCTACATTTCTGTATAATAAATGTGAATGTCAGCGTGTCACTGTGTCAGACTTTTTCAATTAAAGGGACACAACTCTCTAACTTTCAATAGCTCATGTTACAGAAATTCTGGATTCCCAAGTTTTCATTACTGCGATTGTTTTTGGCAATTTTTTGCATCAAATTTTTTGCATGAAGGTAAGCGTAAATATTAATGCAATATTTAAATGCAGCGATCAATCTTGTGTTCTTCGGTAGTTTATTGTTGCCTATCGCATACAGCCGCAGTATGCCTCATGAAAAGAGATCTCTGCCAATAGAGGACCAGATTGCAATCAAAAGAGTCAAGGCTGCAGTGAGGAAAAGAAAGTCCCATGCAAATCAAATGGCAGCCAGGAGAGATTTCAATGCTGAGAATATGCAAAGAGTTAGGGACTCTCAAACTCCCGAACAAGGCAAAGGCACAATCAAGAACCTACTGCAGAAGATAGCTTAAATGTCACCTGATAGGATAGATTTTAAACTAGTAAATTCATAAAGTTGAGGTCAAAAAGAGAAAAGCTCATCAGAACAATTGCTAGGAAAATATTTATAGAAAAGTTACAGGGAAGGCATGTTAAGTTGTGGAGAGCCATAGTCACTCAAGTCTTGAAGAGACATTAAAAAGAATTTTAACCATGGAGCATTACACATGCAATGTCAATTGACATCTCCAGATGCCTTGATCTATTCCCCGTCCTTCTCTTGATCTTTTCCTCTATCACGCCTCTTTAATATTGCTCCCACTTTCTGGTAACTCCTTGCATGCTAGTGGCACTCCTGCCTTGCTTGGGTGAAAAAACTTTAAAAAAAAAAAAAAAAAAAAAAACAAACTTAAATCTGCAGTACAAAACTTTGCAAACCATTTTTGACATTATATTATTTGCAGTACCTTCTTCATAAACTGCACAAATCCTTTTTGCATTTGAATCATAATTTTTCCTTTTTATAAACAAAAAAGCATAATGTCAAAAATATTCATGATTTTCTTTTATCTTATACTAATTATAACATTTAGAATAAATACCTTTTGGAAGCTGTTAAAATACAATCAAAAACAATATTTTTGAGTGAAGTTAATTAAAACTAAAATACCAAAAGGTATCTAATGACAAACACAGAAGAAATATTTTGTCCAACCCAATGTAATATAAATTAAATAGGGGCATGGTCTGAACATGACATACCCAGTCATATCTTGAGAATCAGTCCTGCAGCTCTGATGTAAATTGCTGACCAATCAGAAACAACCTTACTGTGCAGGCTTGAACAGATATTATCTCATGGAGGGAATAGTGATATATTACCTAATGAGCTTGTCTATTTTGAAACTGTCAAATTCATAATGACAGAGCAAGTCTCATGCAGAGATATCTGGCAAAAGCATCACATTATCCAGATTTGTCAACCCTGCTCGAGTCCAGATTTAGCTCACTGTGATTTCTAGCTATTGCCATTGAAAGGGACAAGGTTTCAGACAGCAAACAAAATGTAACAAGGCAGTTGATGGTGATCCCAAAAATGGTTTTTGGCAGATTGTTTTGAAAAAGTCCAAGAGATACCGAGATAAACGTAAGATCCCAAAGGGTCTACTAGTTTGTTTTATTGCTTTGCGTGGGATGAAATGTTTAAAACAAACAAAAAAAGAAAATTAGTGCAATGATGACATAATTTTTGCAAGGGGGTCTGAATATCTGTTTTCATAAATTATTTATGTACATTTTGTTGGAACTGTCAAAAAACTGCACAAAATATAAATATTCGGTTGGAACAAAAGTTCCTCGCCTTTTTTCAGCAGGTGGAATTTTGAAAACATGATTTTGTTTCACACCTAACTGAAATTTATGATATATATGCATATTCTGAGAGGTGACATCTCAACACATCTTTCTGTACGATTCATGCGTGGATTGTGAATATAAAAATGTTTCTGCGTTAAAAGTAAAAATGGAGCAAAATGAGATTTTTCTCATTTGATGTTACTATTTCTGAAAAAAAAAAATAAATAAACAATGTATGAGCAGCAAAAATTATATATAATCTTATAAGTAACAGTGATTTCAAGTGTTTTTGATAAAAATATTTAAATATGACTTAAAAGTGGATCACTTGGAATAATCACAGTGTCATTTTTGGTAATGAGCTAAATTATAGGACACAAAGTTTTTTCAAAACATAGTAAAAAAAAAAAAAAAAAAAAAAATAAGGTTCATACTTACATGATCAATGTAAACACAATTGATTTTGGTTTTAAAGATGCTGTATTCACGAATGTAGTTCTGAATATATAAACCCTAGTAGAAAAAAAAAATCACAAAATATTAAATCAACAACAAAACAAGTTTCTTAGTCTATTATTTACATTATTCAGACTATTGTCATCTTTGTCGCCATGTTTAGCACAACGTTTCGGACCTTCAGTATCCGTCTATATTTCTGAGATGATGTGCACTATTTACATTATTTGGACTATTGTCCTCATCTTTGTCGCCATATTTATTACAATGTTTTGGCCGTTGTACGCTCCGGCCTTCTACAGGTGATTGGAATGTCAAACTGAACCCATTATTTCGCTCATTGGGGTAGACTGTTCTAGTTCCACGTCCCATGTTTAATGGATGTCAGTTATCAGTTATCTCCTGTTAATTCCCCTCTCCAAGTTCTCCACTGCCTTAACCGGGTATTGAACTCACACTCTTTGGGTCCTGTCACTGGATCTAACTAACGCCTTTATACACAGTAGTCTGAATAATGTAAATAATGTACATAATACCTCATCTCAGAAATATAGACAGTTTCTTTGTCCATATTATCAAAAGAGAATACTTGGATTCCAGGTCACAAAGTGACAAAGATGTGAGTAGATATGTAATAATTTACTTTTTAATTTTAATTTTTTTTTACTGTAACTTTTATTATATAGTTAAAGATGTAGTATTGAATGGATTAATATTAACGTCTTTTTTATAAAAGTATTAAATTTTAAATTCTTACTCCCATTCTATAATATTTTAAACTCCTCACTAAAAATTTTATAGGACATTTTTTTCCTGCTCATTCTTCTTCTTTGCACAAATGTTGATAAGTTAAATTTACGTTGGTGTCCATTTTCAACCATCACATTTATCTGTACCTTACTTCACCACAATCACCTCAGATCCCTTACCCCTTCTATATCAATATAACTGCTTCCTCTATTATAAACCAATTCTTACTCCTTCTCTTTTTTTCTTTCCTTTCTTTTTCCTTCCTTTGCCTTTCAAATCTCCTGTGAAGAAACGTGGGATTTTATTCATTTCAGTAAATGTATTTGCATTGACAAGTCCAGGGAAAAACTACTTTCCCATGGATGAAATGATCATCTGTATGAGGTAAACTGTTCAGATCTCATTAATTGTAATTCACTTATATGCTCTATAATAAAAATTATATTGAACTCTCTTTTGCGGATCAGTTTTAATATTTTATATTAATAGGATCTACTTGGATTACTTACCCATGGTTTTTTTACCTGACCTATATATATATATATATATATATATATATATATATATATATATATATATGTGTGTGTGTGTGTGTGTGTGTGTGTGTGTGTGTGTTTTGAACAATAAAAAATATTAAAAACTTAAAATTTTCAGACACACAGGTTGTATATTAACATTTTTTTGTTTTATTATTTCAATTAGGTTCTTCAACCAGTTTTGGCCTGCATGGCCATCATCAGGCGAAAAAAAATCCATGCTTGTTAGTAGCGGTGAACTTCAGGAGTCAATCACTGTCTTTGAAGAAATTGAACTTTATCTGTAGTTTTCATTTGTTTTATTTATTGTTAATTATGGTCAGTCCTTGTATTGGTCAAACGGCCTCTTACAAGTTGTTTTTAAGGTAGAGTCTGGGAGATTCCGGAGTCTCAGAATTCCCTCCTTGGTCATTTTGAGAGTTTTATTGGTTGCTGGGAATGGGATATGTGTGTATGTTATCTTTTATGTTTTTTGGGAGTGTGTGTAATGTGTGTATGTGTGTGCGTGTGTAGATGTGCAAGACCTCAACATCTCTGCAAGCATGTCTGTCTTGTGTAGGTAAGAAATGTGGGTAGGTTGATTTATGAGATTATGTATTAATTCTATCTGTGTTGTTAAATTTCTGGTTAAGTCTGTCTGGACAAAGTGTTTTGAGGTGCAAAATCCATTTGTCTTCACGTTCCTCTAGTATTTTTGTAAGGTTATCTTTTCTGTCTATTTCTATTTTTTGAATTATAATGAATTTTGCATGGCTTTTCAAATCATGTTTTTCTAGGTGAAAATGTCATTCTACATGTAATAATCTTTCATGACTTGATCTGATTCTAGTCAAGAAAATCACTCATTGGTGATTTTCTTGCCTACATCAGTTATAATCTTAAAGTATTAAGTTTTTTATCTTTATTATATTATTATTATTATCCTTATATATATATATATATATATATATATATATATATATATATGTATGTGTGTATATGTACATTTTTTAAGTTCCTTAAATTGTTCTTTATTTATCTCTTAATTCTATTTAATTAATTTATTTAATTATTTTATTAATTAAAAATTTATATAATTTATTTTTTAATTTTATTTTCACTTTATTTTACTTTAACTTACTTATTTTATTTATGTCAATTATTATTATTGTAATTATTATCAATTTGAAATTGTGATGATTATAATGCAATGATTGTTTCGCTGTTGAAAATGACATGACAATTCAATGTATCTACTTTGAATCTGATAGCTCCCCTTCCTTCGCCTTGTATTTTAACTTGTCCAGTTCTTAAAGAAAAAAAAAAAATTTCTAGGTCACCCTATCAGCTCATGTTTAATTCTTCCTTCTTTTCTTTCCCTTCCTCTCTCACTCTCTCCTCCACTCTCCTCTTTTCCTCTCTCTTTTTCTTTCCTCCACAAAATCCATTGTCAAATAAAAAAAACAAAAAACAGAAAAATAATAAATAAATAATAAACAAAACAAAACAAAAAATAAATTAAAAAAAAAACAGAAATGAAAAAAACAAACAAAAAAATACAAAAAGAGCCACAATGAAAATGAAAGAGGATAGCAAGATTAGTAAGTTACTTTCTTTTATTAAATATTATTAATTATTAGTAGCCATGTTTCTTTTAGTAAATATTACTAATTAATAGTAACCATCCCTTCGCTAACAAAATTTTAAAGGCGTATTAACCTACAAATCACTCTATGAATGTTATGATCCTTATTTTTAAAAATTATAAGCTGTACAAGGTCTTTCTTTAATACACAAGTATTTTCGACTGTACATTCAGTCATCTTCAGGCATGGAAATTATTGTTTTTGGTAAAATTCAGGTAGCATCTGAGACAAAAAATATAATATTTTAACAAAAACAAAATGATTTCCATGCCTGAATGTACAGTCAAAAGTACTTGCGTATTAAAGAAAGACATTATACAGCTTATAATTTTAAAAAAACAAGGATCATAACATTCATCGAGTAATTTGTATGTTAATGCATCTTTAAAATTTTGTTAGCGAAGGGATTTCGCCATTTTATATCATTAACTTTACTAATCTACTTTTTTTATGAATGTACTTACCACACGACTACTGCTATGGTTTCCAAGGGTGGAGACAGTAATAAGCGATTGGAGTACAACAAGAGCAGCTGATACTTTGGAGAAGCAACTGTTGACGTCCAGGCCACGATTGGTTTGAGAAAATAAGTAATACAGAGCTTGACTGGCATTGTAGGTTTTACCGCTACCATTCTCACCACTGATTGGATTAAAAGAAAAAGGTAAATTAAATTTAGAATAGTGACAAAATACCATATTCACCCCCATTTACCCCCCCCCTAAAAAAAATTACTCCTCTCCCTAATTTAGCCCTCAGCCTTATTAGACTAAAATTCCTAAGAATTAATTAAATTAAGAATTTATTTTGGATTTGTAAGCCAATCCTCAATATGCAGGCATCGTAACAGTGACTCACTAAGAGTAATTGGCAACCTGAGGTTAAATTCCAGTCAAGTTCATTACATTCATTTTTGCACAAATACCCTTGAGAAACGAGATGAATCAATCTCTCTCTGACAAACTATAGGATCAAATAGCAAGAAGTGATGATGATCACAAAAGCATGAAAACTAGGGTCACAAACACATATCCATACAATATATATATATAAGGTGGTGGACTCTCTGGTTAAGTCTGTCTGGATGTATGAGGGTCAAGCAGCTCAGTTCCTAGGAACCAACAGCCCAGACACCAGCACATATGATTTGATTATAGTGTTGAAGGCTTTGTGCAGAACCAACCACACTTTTTGAAGGGCTGAATACAGAGACCTGGTGCACTATGTGCCACAAGGTCCCCAAACGACCCTCCACAGGTTTTGAATTCAGAGTTGTCCTTCTCCTAGACCAGTTGCCATCCAAGGTTATAGAGCCCAGTCTGTCCTGCTATTTACCCATAGCATAGGAGGGAGAAGATAAGACTTAATACCTTTCTCAAGAGTATTAGCACGTAAGTGAATGTAAGAGATTCGACTGGAATATGAATGTGGCTCTCTGATTCCTCAGTCCTAGTTGCTATCCACTGTACTTCCTCTCTCTCTCTCTCTCTCTATATATATATATATTTTTTTTCCTTCCATTTGTTATATTAATTTAATTTACACACTTATATATTTTTTATATCCCAGAAAATAAACTTGATAAGTCCTGGGACGAAACCGGTTGTTCTTTTTTAGCTTTTTAAAATGCCATATAAATTCTGCCTATTCCAAGCTATCATTAAATTTTGTACCATAAAAAACTTATGTAATATATATATATATATATAATTGTTTGAATAAAAAACAGACAACTTTAAGGTTCCATGTAATAAATTATTAAATCACAGCCCTTTTAAAGGGCTCTGGATCATCAGACTTTACTTCCAAAGGTTGAAATAAAAAGTGAAAAGAAATTTACACATTCTTGACGGGCCGTATTAAGCATATGTAAATTAACAAAGTGAGGGGGGGAGAGAAGGCGAAGTGAGGAAGTGAGGGGGGAGAGAAGACATGAGTGAGGAAGTGAGGGGGGAGAGAAGACATGAGTGAGTTAGATGTACCATTTCAATTCTTTATCCCTAACCCCACTTGGTGTGGGCCAGACAAACGCTTCACTTGACTTATGTTATCTTTAGATATGGATGGGTAAGTGGTGAAGAGGAAAGCCGACATAAAAGGAAGAAGATACAATAAAACAATTCTGATGAGAGAAGTTTTCACTTAATTTCTTGGACGCTGTCATGTCGCATTATTTTAAAGGGTATATTCAGGGGTTAAAGTTTGATATAAATATAAATGTCTACAAAATCTATGAAGAATTTAATTTGATGTTTTTTGGAGTTTTGGGTATTTTCTATGAAATAGTCGATTGGAAAAAATTCATAGAAAGTACATTGAAAGAATAATTCATTTTACATCTAGTAATCTTTTTTATTTTCCTAAACTTTTTTCTTGTTCATCATTATGTTGACATCTATTCGTTTGAGTTTTGTTCATAAATTAAACTCGTGACTGTTTTTAGGTACCTACATAATTATCAGAGGTTATTCCAATTTAAATAATTTTATCATCAATAATGATTCTTAAAGGGTAATATATTTCAATTTAAACTAAATTATCAGTTTAAAATTTACCTCCGTATTATTTAAATTCACTTGGAGCAACGCTGAGTTATGGGAAGCAATTCTTGACATATCTCGCGGCATTACAGCAGATGACATTCTACAATTAACAAATTCTATAGATCGTTGACTTTTTCAAGTGATTTCAAAACAGGGAAAGCACATTACCTATTAATTTGTTTAAAACTGTGCCCTTGCTTGTATCTGTTATTATTTGTTTGATTATCTTATTTATTAGCTTCTTTTGAAAGAACAATATATTTAAAAACTGAGTAAGATGATGTATGGATAATAATACAAAAGATGTTAATTTAGAATTATAAATATTGTATACATTGGCCAGTCATAGATCCAACTACATATAAAAAAAAAAAAAACATGTGATACACAATATAAACACACATACATTGTATATATGATTAAATATAACAGACAATGAATGTCTATTATGTCTGATCATGAGCCATTCTAATATTTGAATGTTTGCTTTAATTTCTGGTGAAAATAAAAACAAAATTTAATTTCTGATGAAAAAAAAAAAAAAAAAAAAAAAAAATTGTCCAACATTTGGATATTTTTTATTAAGTTGGTCCTAAGCTTTCAACTCGCATGAGCCATCTTCAGATTGGTTATACAGACATGAAACAAAGATATCCAACGTCAAAGAAATTAAAAATTTCACTTGAAATTAAAGCAAACCTTTGAACATTAGAACAGCTCATGATCAGATATAATAGACATTGTCTGTTATATTTAATAATATATGCTTAAATAATGATCTGCTGCTCCACTATATATATATATATATATATATATATATATATATATATATATATATATATATATATAAAGAAATATAGTCTTAAGATGTGCTATATTTATGGGATAAAGTGCTCAATATCAGAGATAGAGCATGTGTAAATATAAAAGTGAATACAGAAGTCAACACTTAGAGGCGACAGTGGCCTGAGGATTGCATCTAGCATGAAACAGACTGTCGTCTCTAAGTGTTGACTTCTATGTTCACTTATATATATATATATATATTAAATAAAAACAGACCACTTTAAGGTTCCATGTAATAAATTATTTCACCACAGCCCTTTTAAAAGGACTGCGGATCATCAGACTTTACTTCCAAACAAAAAATGAAAAGAAAATTTACACATTTTTGACGGGCCGTATTAAACATATGTAAATTAATGAAGTGAGGGGGGAGAGAGAAGACATGAGTGAGTTAGCAGATATTGGCACATTTAAACGGTTAACTTAACGGAAGTTATATATTGATATCAAAGGGGTAGAGAAGAAAAAGCCCATAGAGAGAAAAAGAGAGAAGGAAGTTATGAAAGAAGAGAAGAGAAGATGTCACTAATTTTCTTTGTAAAAAAGCTAGAAACAGACGCTGTTATTTTGTTTTACTTTGAAAGTGTTATTTTGAGGGTTCATAAAGATCATAATGTTTGATATAAATTTGAATGTCTCTAGACTGTCTACAAATAATTTAATTTGATGTTTGTTAGTGATTTAAATTTTTTTTTTTTTTTAAATTTGTTTCTAGCCATTTTTTTTACAAAGAAAATTAGTGACACCTTCTCTCCAACTTTTATGTAAGCAACTTACCTAATTAGTTTGTTTTACTGAATAGCAGAGCAGGGACAAAGGGTAAAGAATCATATATTGCTTAGAGCTACAATAGACAAGAAGTGGTGGAGAGCCATGATCATTCGCAGTCATAAAGGGTAATACCAAATAACTTACCTAATGAGTTTTTGTGAATGAACAACAAAGCAGGAAGAGGAAGTGGTGGAGAGCCATGATCACTCATGGAGTGATAAAAGGTAATAGCGAATGACTTACCTAATGAGATTGACTGAATAGTAGAGCAGGGACAAAGCAGGATGGTAAATAATCAAATATTACTTAGAGCTACAATGGACAGGAAGATGTGGAGAGTCATGATCAACCACATCCTGAAGGGATATGGCACATAAATGATGGTGGGCCTTTCCCTGTGGTTGAAATGATCAGACAATGCATAAAGAATCTTTGCCCCTTGATCAAAAATCTTTCTTTCTCCATTGTGGATACTGAAATTAATGAATTCTCCCCCTCTTATAAATTAATGAATTCTCCCTTTTATAAAGAAAGAAAAAAACAACTGTTATGCAATTCTAAAAATCTACAATGAAGACAAAACAAAAATTGTTCTGCTTAGGTTGCTAAGAACTACAATAAGAACAAATCTTCTATTCATTCTATAAAGGCTATACCACATTGGAACACTGGTTCTTAGATGACCATCAGTTAAGCAACATCAAGCCTGGTTGGTGCCTAAATGGGTGACTGCTTGGGAATACCAGGTGCTGTCAGCTTGGATGTGCAGATGGTGTATTCGGTAATAGTTTGGAATTGGAAAACAGAGAGCAGAGATCCAACTTCAGTCAGGTTTTTTATATTTACTTACATGCAAATTCCCTTGACAAAGGTATGAATCCACCTCTTTTCCTCCCAGCTATGGGTTAATTAGTAGAACTTGTATCAGTAAATCAAAAAAGTTCTTACAGTCTAAAAATATTTTCTGGCTTCAAATAACCTGCAAACGGTTGATAAACTGAAAAAACAAATCAATCTATCCATTCTATAATTAGTCCCTGTTGTTAGTCTATTAATATGTTTAATTTATAAATCTTTATCATATGTATGTATGTATCAGAAAAATTATATATATATATATATTACCAAGAATCAGTCATACAAAAAGTAGATTAGTAAAGTTAATGATATAAAATGGCAAAATCTCATCGCTAACAAAATTTTAAAGATGCATTAACGTACAAATCACTCGATGAATGTTATGATCCTTGTTTTTTTAAAATTATAAGCTGTATAAGGTCTTTCTTTAATACGCAAGTACTTTCAACTGTACATTCAGTCATCATCAGGCGTGGAAATTATTTTGTTTTTGGTAAAATTCAGGTGGCATCTGAGACGAAAAATATAATTTGCGTATTAAAGAAAGACCGTATACAGCTTATAATTTTAAAAAACAAGGATCATACTATTCATTGAGTGATTTGTAGTTTAATGCACCTTTAAAATTTTGTTAGTGAAGGGATTTTGCCATTTTATATCATTAACTTTACTAATCTACTATATGTGTGTATGGTTCTGTACTATTTGCATTTTTAGGCATTTGTTGAATATCATAGAATAATTTTAGACTACTGCATATTTTTGCAATACAATAGCAATAATAATCAATAGTAATAATAGTAATAATAATCAATTACTTACTTGAAGACGATGGTCTGTGGATATTTAGTATCAAAAAGCTCCTGAAGAACTTCTATGACTTTATGCTTCAAGAATTTAGAATGATTCTCATCCTGATTTGTTTCAAGGGGCAACTTGAAAGTATTTGAGTAAGGATTGAGGATGATTAAAGATGGTCCCAGCCATGTCTGTCAATGGAAAAAAATTACCAACATTTTAAAAAGAACAATAAGTTTTTTTTTAATGATTTCATCCCAAGCAAGGCAATAAAGCCACTAAGATGCAAGGAGTTACTGAGTGCAAGAGAATATGAAACAAAAAAACAACCTATTAAGGAAAGAGAGAACAATAAAAGAACAGGAATTCTTCTTTATGTGCACCAGACAAGATGCAGCAGCAATATTCAATGCATGGGCAAATGGTAGACTTAAAATATGTAAGCAATTCTGGTGAAAAAATTGTCTAGCATGACACAGTGAACCAACTTTCCTAGCAGCAGATGATCAGGATTCAATATAAATTTTTCACTTCATGTCAGTGGGAAATGTTAGCCCAAGAAAGTGCAATGATTCACACTCGTGGAGGTTAGCATCAGCCATGCTGATGGAAGGCAAAAAACTTATCTAAGACTTTATATATTTCTTGGTCAGTTAGTCTGATCTTCTGTTGTAATCTAAGGAAGGTTACTGTATAGAATAACCACACAAAGGTTGGTAATGAACAATAATACTTAGAACAAGAACAACACATATAAGATTCACCAGCGGCACATAGAAGTAGTCAACTGCTAGAAGTGAGTCAAGTGAATTCCACAATGAATCTCTAACTGCAGACCAACATACAGTATTTACTACTGTATTTATGTGAATGGAGGCATACCTGTTATTGTCCATAGGTATGCTACATCTTCCTTACTTACTAATGAGATATTCAGTTGTTACAATAAAAAGCATTACACAATGCCAATGAGAAAAAAAAAGACTAATGTCCTTATCTTTAGTGTCACAGACATATGTATTTCATAAATAATCTCCACGGATTTAATGCCGTTTAATTTTTGGAATTATCATGGCAACTACCACATTCATCAACAAAACTCTCTAAGTCAATTCACTCAGTTTGCAAACTTTAAAATGATAGCAGTGCATCGTTACCCAATCTGTCACTGGTGATAGAATTTCTTATTTATATTTCTGAGATGAGGTATTATGTACACTATTTACATTATTTGGACTATATTCAATACCCGGTTAAGGCAGTGGAGAACTTTCAGAGGGAAATTAACAGGAGATAACTGATAACTGACATCCATTAAACATGGCACGTGGAACTAGAACAGTCTACCCCAGTGAGTGAAATAAAGGGTTCAGTTCAACATTCCAACCACCTGAAGAAGGCCGGAGTGTACAACAGTCGAAATGTTGTCAATATTATCCAATCTGTTTCACTTTATTTTTTCTAATTCTCGCTATTGTGACATTTTTCACATGGAGAAATACATTTTTAATTATAGGTAATATCAATAATTGAACAGAACAGAACATACAAACTTTACGGAAATTAACTATAGCTTGCATACATTGTGGGATTTTAAGGGGGAAATCTAAGATTATTAAAATAAATATATCAACTACACTCCGACATCATATCATATAAAAGTGTGGGCAGCAACTTATCATTTCGATCTCATATTAGGGCTTCTTTTTAGCTTTCTTCTACTCCCTGTTCTGCCAACCATTTACACAAGCTTGTTAGGTAGATTATTCATTGCTTTCAATATATCTTGGGAGTGTCAAATTCTCCAAGCCCTCTTTTCTCATTTTGTCCTAAAAATTTCAATTGTTTCTTTCTGATTCTAAATAAAAGTCTCCTTTTTATTTCCGTTTTCCTTAAAACTTCTTTTTGATAGTCACATATTCATTAATAGTAAAGTGCAACCTCAGTTGTTGAATGTCTCACATGTCGAACAAATCGGTTTTTGAACAGAATATAGGAGATGAAAATACCTAGGTTACCAAACAAAATTTTGGTTCTCAAACAACATTGCCGAACCAAGTTAACCTGAACGGAATCATTTCTTAGTCGACCACAGTGTTGTATACATTCGTGTGTTGTGCTTTTCTTTCCCAATTTTATTGAACTGCGCATTTTTTTCTCTTTATTAGTCCTCAGTCATGGCTCCAAAGAAAGCTAGCAGTAATACTAGTAAAGGAAAAAGAAACGTTAAGAGAAAAACAATTGTTGATGATATTGTCTCTTCCTACTCAGTTTCATATGGCAAAATCAACGATCTATACTATTCTTATAAATAAAGAGACGATCATGTCTTTCCTTCCCTTTTCCAAACAATAACATCTTTTTTCTTCCCCTTCCACTTATGCAATCAACTCTCCTACTTACAGGTATGGTAAAATTAAAATGTTCGTCTATATTTTATCTGTTTAATATTGGGTTTATTCATTTTTTTTTCTTAGATTTAATGATTTTCATTAGTTTTGTGTATAAACTTGTGCACAAAGTACTGTTGTTAAAGTTTAAATAAGCAATCACCTTGGCATTAGGAACAGATTAATCCATTTTACATTGATTCCTATTGGAAAAAATAGTTTTGGTTTATAAACATTTCGAGTTATGAACAGGCTTCAGGAATGAATTAAATTTGTGAACCAAGGTTCTACTCTAGTCACATAATAGCAACTTGACGTAATAGTCACATAATAGCAACTTGATGCAATAGTCACATAATAGCAACTTGATGCAATAGTCACATAATAGCAACTTAACTATTCAGTAAATTCAAATAATGCAAATAAAATCAATAAATAATGTGGAAAATTTAACAATTCCCCAGATTAAATTGTGCCTGATGAACAAAGATGAGACAATTGAATAGTTTAAAAAAACATACTTTATATAAGAAATACATTACATAACGACAAAGAGAATAAAGGATTGCTAAAAATATATTCTTTTAGCAGTTAAAAGCCATGGCATCCAAATACATGTGTCTGTTGAAATGGATTGAAAAACTGATCTGGTGTTGTTGAGATCTTTTTCTGAAGCATTGCCAATTCTTGGAATAAGCTGAAAACATGTCTGTCCCTTGGTCATCTCAGCCTCTGCTTTGGTGCCTAAATTTGGATCATACGCATCATTATTATCAGATGAATGGACCGGACTTACTACCAGCAGGAGTTTTCTACCAAAGGGAGATAACCTATATTTTTGATAATAATGCAAGCAGGTGTAATATAAATGTACAATTTATTTCTAATAATAACATTTTATTTGTTGCTAGCCAAGTTTGCCAATTTCAGTCTTTGATAAGAAAAATAGTTTTTTTTTTTTAATGTTATCATCAAAAATTAAAAGAAAAAAAAAGTAGGAAAAGATGATGTTAGTCAAAGAAAAATTCTGAATACCAATAAGATAATTCCTTACTTCAAGATGTCCTCTGATGAATCTCAAGTCAAGACAACGAATAACAGATTCCATGGAGACAGGATATTGAAGATGGACAACATCAAATACGGGTCTATCATTGTAATTTACATTATGAAGGTCATCAGATTCATTCCCTGAGAAAAGAAAAATGTAGGTTATAGTAATTCCAGTCAAGCAATACCAATCAATTTTATTGACCATTTTGATAAAATATATTATAAAAAAAAGAAAATAACTCACTAAGAAAGAAAATCCTTGAGTGCTGCCATTGAATATTATCCAAATATTAATCTACACCCAGGCTTTTTTCCTATTTCACCTTTCTTAACAGAATTACTACTCTCCCAAACAAACGTACACAACAATATTGTAAAATCAAAAGAAAATGGTTGGATCTGTCAACACAGCAATAAAAACAATATCTCCACACATGACAGTACTGCACATAATTTTCAGTTAACAGCATGAAAATAGCGTTCTCTAAATTCTTCCAGTTGCAAAGGACATTTTGCTTTTGTTATTATTAGTTACTTTGTTTAATAAATTCATTTTGTTTCGCCTTGAAAAAGTCCACGTCAGATGAAACACATTGGCAATTATTACAGTTTTCCTATGTCTTTTACATTTATAAATATAATATATTATTCTCAGGTCTGTAGTGACTATACCCCAACTTTATTAATTTTGGAAAAAAAAAATTCCAACTCTCTCCACACTACATTTTTTTTCATGAAAACTTCCTAAGAAAATGATTATTTAGAATTGAAAAACAGATTTTGTATAGATTCTAAAAGTTAATTCAAATAATAATTCATTGAATTCTAAAAATTAATAGGCTTACAGCCACATCACATTCAAACACAGGTTCTTACACAATCACTGAAGCTAAGCAATGTCAATCTTGGCCAGTACTGAGATAGGTGACTGCTTTGAAATATCAGGTGCTGTAAGCTTGGATTTGAGGGTGGTGCAATGAATAATGACTTGAAATTGGAAATCAGGGAGCCAAGTTCCAATTCCAGTCAGATTCATTATATTTACTTACCCATAGGAAAGGTATGAGTCCACCTGTTTTCCTCCCCATCTATGGGTTAATTAGTAGGACTTGTAACAGTAAATCATTATTGTCTCCAAAGAAATTCTGATGGAGAAGGAAATTGCTTTAAATAATTTGCTTTATGTTTACATAGCATTTTTTTCATTGCTGTTTGATCGAAGCAATCGAAAACGAGGAAGCCTTGTCACCCATTCAGTCCAAACAATAAAAAGCAAAGAAACTCTTTCCTCTATTCAATCAAGACAATTTAAAATAAAGAAACCTTGTCCAATTCAGATCATTCAAAATGAGGAATGCTTGTCCCCTTATTCAAACCAGATCATTTAAAACAAAGAACACTTGTTGTCACATTCAATCGAGATCATTTAAAACAAAGAACGCTTGTACCCCCATTCAATCGAGATCATTTAAAACAAAGAATGCTTGTCCCCTTATTCAAACCAGATCATTTAAAACAAAGAACACTTGTCATCTCATTCAATCCAGATCATTTAAAACAAAGAACACTTGTCGTCTCATTCAATCCAGATTATTTAAAATAAGGAATGCTTTTGAGAAAAAAAATGGATTTGTGTTCTTCTTGAAGGACATAAAAAGTTATTAAGAACCCAAATATCATCTCCAAATGTAGACAATTCTTTTTATTTATGATTAATATTTTGGTAATTACTGTTTTTAGAATTCTGAAGAACTCTTACTTTTACGGTTGCCATCATTTTTAATTTTCCAGTCTTCCAGGTCCATGTCAGTATCCCCTTTTTTTTGGGGGGGGGAGTTGTTGATCCACGAATTCTCAGATGTGTTGCTCAAGACAATACCATTTTCTGGAAAAAAGAAAAAAAAAAGTACCAAATTTATTGAAATTTTCAGAGACACAACTTAAGTCTGTAATCAATAGTTATTAGCTGAATTTTGATCTGAAAAGCATTGGAAAAAAAATTTAATGAAAATCTATCAAAAATTATCTATATTTCTGAGATGAGGTATTGGAATTATTTACATAATTTACATTGTTCAGACTGTTGTCCTCATCTTGATTGCCATATTTACAATGGTAATAAAGATGAGGACAACAGTCCGAACAATGTAGTGTAAATAATTACAATCCCTCATCTCAGAAATATAGACAGATTCTGAAGAAGACCAACAACAGCTGAAACATTGTGAATATGGCAATAAAGATATGGACAACAGTCTGAACAATATAAATAATGTAAATTATCAGAAATTACTTAAATTTATTACATGTCTAATATAACAGGATTTTTAGGCCAGCGATGAAATTTCTATGATGACTGATTATAAAAACCAATTAGTAAGCAAATGACAATGACTAATTACGAACCAATTAATCAGCATAACTCTAATATACCAAGATTTAGGAAGTGTTTCCACAGTTGTCATAAGGTGATCCCAGCATGCGGCACCTTTGGAAAGTGCCTGAAAACCATACCACAGGTTGACCCAAGGCCTTGTGAGTGAAATTGGACAGACGAAACCATTTAGGAGATTTCAGTAGTTGAACTAGCATGAAGTCGCAAGTCATCATGACCCAGGGTTTGAGTACCGGCCTTGTTCAGTCTGTTGATTGTGCCAGATAACACACTCTTTCCCAGAAACTGTAACTAAGATTCGCTCAGTATAGCTGTGGTATAAACCACAGGTTGGCTCTGTGGGTGTTGGACAAACACAAATGTGCCTGAGCAGGCGTCTGCAGTGGGGATTGGCTAACCACCCTAGTAGATAGGCATACTCAGATACAAGTAGCCAGCTATTACATTACTATATTGATGGGAAGAGACAAGTGAATATCCCTTTAGAGTTTTTTTTTTTTTTAAACTGATCATCTACTCTAGAAATGAAAGTCAAGAACTACAAATATACAAGATACAAAAAGGCAGATGCATATGAAAAAAAAAAAGGATGAACATGACATCTAACTCTATTAATTGAGCCCCAAATTTATCAGCTTCGCTTTGTGTAATAAAAGACGAACATTTTCCCTCTAGGAAAGCTATTGTTAATATGGTTGTTAATAACAGCCATTGTATAATTGAAAAGTGCATCAGGTAAATACGTCATCTGACAGTGCTAGTTTTTTTTTTCTTTTGGGTCACCCAAGGGATAATCTCCTTTGGAATGTAAGTTTTTTTTTTTGGACGATTCATGCTACACCTGTAATTATTTTTTCAAGTAAGTTTTAAAATATATACAGATTACGCATTATAGAAATATATGCTTATATAATGCCTATTTTGCTGAAAAATTATTATCAACTAAATTCTTTTTTTTTCCTTTTTGAAACTTTTGCGAATTATGCAGTAAAATTAAGAAAAATGATAATTATTTTCCTAAGAAAAATCAAATGTTGATTTGAATATTTTAAAACTGTTTTTAAACCTCTGATAACTGTAAAAAAAAAAGAAAATGATTCTATAAACATTTGATAGTAAAATCTAACAATCTAATTTCTGTGGTCTCACTTGAAAGACAGCTTTCTTGGTTCTGAAGAAAAAAAAAAATAACGTCCAATTCCTGCAGAAAGGAGATGTCTTCCAACACTACCACATTGCATTTAATGGGGCATAATTAAAGTCAGTGTATTATGCCTGAAAAGTACCTGAAAGAAAATGCTGAGGAAACTGGATAATTTCCTGAACTATCTGCATTAAATTTGACCTTATGTCATATAATCTCACAGGAAGGAAGGTAAACTATATAGAGACATTTATCAATTGGGGTAAGGACTAAAGTTAATCATTAGCAACTAAGCTAAAGGAAATGAACTATTTTGTGGGTACTGGGACTCACATTTTCAGTGCAGTCATATTCCATTCAAGTAGGCACATCAAACCCAATTCTTGGCCTGACCTTAAGATGGAAAATAACTGAAGTTGGTTTCCAGTGGCCTGTGATGGCAGGATTGCAACTTTGCCATTGCATTTAAAGAAAAATGGTCAAGCTGCTAGTACATATGCTGGGAGCCACATTAACTGTGGCCTTGTGCCCTACCACCGTCAGAGGCACGTATCAGCCTTTTTTGTTCTTAGCCAGATGCAATGTCTTCTCATTTTTTTTTCTTTGTAGAATAAAAAAGTTGTGGAAAGGACAACAGGAATATATATGTAACTGATTGTGAATTCAAATGCACAAAAAAATATAGGCTACTGGTTTTAATTAAGGAGAGAGAGAGAATAAGATGTTTCTTTTTTTTTTTTAACAATGATGTTCACCCTGTATAAGGCCCAAGAGCCATTCGAGATAGACTATTATAGAGTAAGAGGCACCCAAGTAAGGGGATAAAGCCACCAAGACACAAGTGGCAACTGGAAACTCAATCTTAAAGAGGAAACAAAGGATAAACTTCTACTCTTGTTCAGGGAGGTGTGTGAACCGGGCGATAGGCAAACCGATCTATTCCTACTGAAAAAGTGTTCTTTTTCCAGAGAAGAACAAAACTAAATAGCAGTGAATAATCTCAAGATTCCTGGAAAATCTTGAAAGACCATGACATTTTTAAAGATAAAAAAAAAAAAAATTTTATAAAACATATACTACACATAGCTCTTAGTCAAAAGAATGAGAAGTGAGATTTATCCAAATTTCCACTCAAACAGAACATGGTACAAGGCAGTGTTTAAAATATGGATCCCATATAAACATGAAGTAAGATACCAAAAATAGTCTAGACTATTCAGCGTTACCCTTTTGGAGATCCCTCAAGTACCAGGAATTAGCCCTATCCCCCACCCCCTCCAGAAGGAGATTTGGTTTGGCCTGGTTTATTTTGTTTTATGGCATATCAACCTCAATGGGTTATTTAATGCCAACAACATTTTTTATTGCTGGTAATATTTCGTTTTGTCAAAAATCTGTTTCTGGTAATATTTTTCCTTCAAAATTGTATTGCTGGTAATAATTTTTTTCAATAGTAATAGTTAACTATTTGCCCATAGCTGGGACCCTAACAGGTGCTACCACCTCGGGTCAGGGTGGACCTAGGAACATCAGCAATTAAGAGGTGGTTCCATGCTCCTCAAAACCTCCTGATCAGAGGCCTTGCTGCTGGACGTAGTTTATTGTCTTACCCAGGACACTCCAGAAGGAGAGGTATGCATTTATCAACACACCTACTTGAATGGAATGTCACACAAAGTAAGTTGCAAGCAAATGCAGATATGGACTAAAGACAAAATTTGCTCCAGCCTCGTTAGTACTTCTCCTTTTTGGACTATCTCAGGCACCAGGTAATGAGCATAATTCCAGTCTGAGGGAGTGGTACCACCTGGGGAGAGGAGCAAGCTTTTTGTCAGGTTTTGGTGATTGATTAGAAAAGACAATATTCTAATTTACTCCTTATTTATTTTTGTATTCATGAATTAAAAAAAGAGTTTTTTTTCTTTGAAAGAAAGGCATGTGTATCCTGACAAAACCTCCTTCAGTTAAAAAGCTAAGTCAGGACAAATCTACATTTTTACATCCCTATTTAAATAAATAAATGATACATTTAGTTGACAACATAAATACTTCTTGGACCTTTATGGTATGATAAATCAATTGTTATTACTAAACTTGACAAGGGTGTAGGTTTTTTGTTTAATTTTGTTTAGCAGCTGATCAACCTCCATGGGTTATTTAATAACAAAATCTAAATATTTCATTAGTTCTGGGTGTAATGAATAAACTACACCCAGCAGCAAGGCTGGAGATTGGGGCTTTCAAGGAGCATTGAAATATCTCTTAATTGCTGTTGTTCTCAAGTCCATCTTAACCTCGTGTGGCAGCACCTGTTAGGGTCCCAGCTATGGGCAAATTGTGAACCCCCAAACAAAAACAAAACACTATGAAAATATAAAAATACATTTTTATCATAAAATTACCAACAATACCTATTTATAATAAAATTACCAACAATCCATTTTATAGCAAAAAGACCAACAATAAATATTAACTGTAGTTGAGTGCATACAATTGTGTTCAAAATACATGTAATTGAAGCCATAAAATTGCGTACTAATTACTTCGATTTGGGCATTAAATAACCCATAGATTGATATGCCACTAAACCAGATCAACCAACCAACAATACATATTTTTAGCAAAATTAACGATACCCACAGATAATAAAATTACCAACAATACAATTTTAAAGCAAAACATTTTATAGTGAAATTACCAACAATACATTTTATCTGTAGTTGAAACATTCAAAATATTTACTTGAAGCCATAAAATTGAATTCAAAATATTTACATTTCGGCATTAAATGACCCATAGGGTTTGCTATGCCGCTATACAAAACCAACCAACATGAAAGAACTCTTTCATGACATTGACCCATATAATATCCTATAATTTCTTAAAGAAATCAAATTGTATTCCAAAATATAAATTAAACAAAACCCCCAACCAAAAATCAAAATATTTTCTACTACAGGCTGTTTATTCTTTTTGATATTGTGGAAACAAAGTTCCCAATGTTTCTTGGGTATGTCTTAGCTTTTTCTGCTTCAGAAGTTAAGGTGTGTAATAATGGTTGAGCTCAAGTCAGCCTGGTGCCAAGATGGAACGACCAAAAAGATTAATTTACTTCATGTGAGAATGCTATGCATTTGAAAGTGAAAAAAAAAAAAAAAAAAGAGTTCAGAAGTTTCCCCAGTATGGATCGCCTTTATCCAAGATGTGTTACATATTGGAGAAAGAGGAAAGAAATGTCTGCTTTTTATATAGAACTTAAACAACGACACCTAATGGACGTTTGGCAAAACCTAGTGGATTAAGAAAAATTCCAGTTCCTTTATTACTTAACATCATGGAAAAATGTATTTTTTTTACCTTTTTTTTTTATTCATTATTTAATATATTGATTTTATTTCATTTTCCCCCACAATAGCATAAATTTTTAATCACAAACGATTAAAAGCATAAAGAAGAACTAAAATAAAATTTTAAAAAGACAGAAAACAATTAAAACAGTTAATTAGTTAATTTTAACTTTTTATTTTAACCATTGATTCAACCAGTAAGTCTCTTAATTTTGAATTTTAAACTTCATTCACAAAGTACAAAAATGCTAAAAATTCATTTTAATTTTTAACTCTGGTACTATCAAGGTGTTTTATTAATTACTTGAGGAAAAATGTACCCGATGAAAACATTTTTATTGAAGTTTGATTAATGACAAATACAAAAAAGATACCGAAAATAAAAACAATTAAAAAAAAATTAACTTAAAAAAATGTGTACAAGTTAAAAACATAAACTAAACAATATCAATTCTGAACGACTTTGGTTGAAAGAAAATTCAAAATTTACAACCAGTCATTAATTTCTGTAAATAAATAAACCTTGTTGTTTGTTAATTTTAAAAATGTGCCAACAGTATTACTGTTCGCACCTCCCCGTCTCTTTAACAACACTTCACTATTTAAGAAGCAATAAACGTTGTCTAAAACAAAAGAGTTTTTTTTTTGCTGTTGTTAATTATTAAGGAAAGGTCTTCTTAAATGTTTTTAAAAATGTTTGTGCAGAAGTTGGATTGAAAAAGGTGAATGAATGCATAATTAATTACATGTTAAGTAGAAATAAACATTTACAAACCACAAATAAAAAAATTGGATTTTAAAATTTTGTATCGTTTTTCGCGACCACGTTTCTTAGATTTTCGGGGGGGGGGTTATCATGCATTCAAACTTTTTTTTTTCTTTAGGTAAAATTTAAATGACTCTTCTTCTTTTTCTTCATTGGGGAAACACGATCAAAAAGAGATGTCTCTACGTGCCATTGTCAGGATTTTTTTAAGGGTAACTAATCAGAAAGTTTTTACCAAGCAGATGAAAGTTAATTAAATAAGAAAAGTTAATTTGAAAACCAAAAAAAAAGAAGAAAAATACATGAAAGATTTCGATTTAAAGGTCCGAGCCGGACCGCTATTTTTGAGAAGGAGAAATTTTTTTCAAACTTGCCAAGTTTTACTTACGAAAATAAAACGGATTGTCGGGGGAGATTGAACTTACCTTTTTAAATTATATTTTTAAGGTGTCTGGTTCCTCGCCTGCCTTCATTTTTATTGTTGTTTTCTTTTTAATTCCTTAAAACGCGTGATTTCTCAGTTCTTAAAAAAAATTGGCGGGCCGGCTCAAACATTTAAATCGAAATCGATTTTTTTTTTATGTAATTTTTTTTTTTTTTTTTTTTCAGATTAACTTTTCTTGTTTAATTAACTTTCACCTGCCCTTAAAAATATCCTGACAATGGCACGATAAAAATCGAAAACGTCCACTGTTTTTTGGGGTTTTTTTTATGTATTTACCTTGCAATTTATTTTTAGTAAAGTAGAACATTCCCCGGGAACACAATCTTCTTTTTTAAGCTAATCTCACCCACGGAAGTTTAGTTATGTTGCTAAAAAAAGTTTTTTTTAAGTAAAAATCTAGACAGTGGTTGTCAACGTTCGATCTCAGGTAAAAAGTCATCATGTCAATCAATAATATCAATCTCTCAGAATTCTGAATAATTTTTTTTTCAAGATGGGTAAGAATCCGGGCTACACCATTTGAAATATTATAGAAAAACTAAAAGTAAACTAAAAAACACAATCTTTAATCTTTTTTTTAGACTTTCATTATTTGGATCTGAGCTTTCATCATCAACACTGCAACAACAAAAAATAAGTGGTTTTTTTTACTTTAAAATAAAAGAAGTGTATATTCAATAAATAAGTGATAATTAACTTTTATTTAAATAATAAAAATATTTTTTTTACTAACTGCAGTAAGCCAAATCAAATATTTCCTTCTAGCCAACAAAAAAGTTTTCTAAATAAATTAAAATTAGTTAAACAAAAATGATAACAAACTGACAGATTATTGTTACCATTATTGATCTAAAAAATACGAAATCAGGTGTTGTGTTTGTTTTCTTACCTGTAATTTTCTCG